TCACACTGGCAGAATTAGAGAGGTTTAGGTTGGATATGAGGAAGGAATTCCTCCCTGGGAGGGTGGGGAGGCCCTGGCACAGGTTGCCCGGAGAAGCTGTGGCTGCCCCTGGATCCCTGGAGGTGTCCAAGGCCAGGTTTGAGCAACCTGGGACAGTGGGAGGTGTCCCTGCCCATGGAGGGGGTGGAATGAGATGATCTCTAAGGTCCCTTCCAAGCCAAACCATTCCAGGATTCTAATGGAGATGCAATACTGGAGAACTTGGATAAGGATTGGAGAGGGAGGAGAATGACTCCCAGCTGGAGAAGGCAGTAACTGCCCTCAGGGAACACAGTGTGGGAGCAAAGCTTCCCTCCGAGGAAACTTAATTGGGAAAACAAGTTCCAGAGGTGCCAGTTTATTCCTGGAGTTGGATAAATGTTCAGTGTGGGTGCCAGGGGATGGGAAGGATGTGATGAGGAGCGGGCAGGGCTTCTGTGTGGCCTCAGCAGGGCTTGGTTTGCTGGTTGGTTGAGGGAAAAACCCTTTGGAGAGGTTTTGGTGGCTCTGGGAAGCAGTTTGACCAACACAGCGGCTTCGGAGCGGGAGGAGGGAGCACCTTGAGCTGCCCAAAGTGCCAGGTTAGGCTGGCACTTGGAGGTTCAGCTCCAGGAAAGGAGTAATATCCTTTGAGAGTGTTGTTCCATGAGTGTCCAGAGAGTCTGAGGGAAAGAGTGTCCAGAGAGTCTGAGGGGAAGCAGAGCAGGTTTGTGGGGAAACCTTTGGAGAAGGGTGGGAATGACCCACCCTTGGAGCTGCCCACAATGCCAGGGTAAGCTGGCACTTGGAGGTTCAGCTCCAGGAAAGGAATAATATCCTTTCAGAGAGTGTTGTTCCATGAGTGTCCACAGAATCTGAGGGAAAGAGTGTCCAGAGAGTCTGAGGGGAAGCAGAGCGGGTTTGTGGGGAAACCTTTGGAGAAGGGTGGGAAGGAGCTGCCCTGGAGCTGCCCACAATGCCAGGGTAAGCTGGCACTTGTAGGTTCAGCTCCAGGAAAGGAGTAATATCCTTTGAGAGTGTTGTTCCATGAGTGTCCAGAGAGTGCTGAGGGAAATCAGAAGATTTGTGGGGAAAGCTTTGGAGAAGGGTGGGAAGGAGCTGCCCTGGAGCACCTTCAGCTGCCCAAAGTGCCAGGGTAAGCTGGCACTTGTAGGTTCAGCTCCAGGAAAGGAATAATATCCTTTGAGAGTGTTGTTCCATGAGTATCCAGAGTCTGAGGGGAAGCAGAGCAGGATTGTGGGGAAACCTTTGGAGAAGGGTGGGAATGACCCGCCCGGGAGCCGGGAGGGTCCCGGCGCCAGCGAGCACAGCGAGGCCCAGAAATGAAGGCCCTGAGCTGGTGTGGGGTCGCTTTCCCAGGTGTCCAAGGAGGAGGGCTCTGCCCTGGCCCGGGAGTTCAACTGCCCCTTCTTCGAGACGTCGGCGGCGTTCCGGTACTACATCGACGACGTGTTCCACGCCCTGGTGAGGGAGATCCGCCGCAAGGAGAGGGAGGCCGTGATGGCCATGGAGAAGAGATCCAAGCCCAAGAGCAGCGTGTGGAAGAGGCTCAAGTCTCCCTTCCGCAGGAAGAAGGACTCGGTCACCTGAGCCGGGGATGGGAGAAGGAAAATTCCTCTGGGAAGAACCGAAGGAGAGCCCGGCGGGCGGGCCCGGGGCGGCTCAGGGACATCACCCTGCGGGGACTCCGGGAGGGAGCGAGTGACTCTGCCCGTTGTCTCTGTTTAGGATGAGATTCCCTTCCTTCTGGATCTTGGACTCCGGACACGGCGACGGTTTTCCTCCTGTTTGTTGCCATTTTTCCCTCGGTTCCCGGCGTCGCCTGGGAGCGTTCCCGGGTCAGACTGGGAGTGCTGGGAGCTGGGCTGTGCCAAACGTGGCTGGAGCTGCCCCCAAACCGGCTGAATTCCCTGTTTTCCCGGTCGTTTTGCACGAGCTGCTCTCCAGAACAACAACAACAACAGCTCGAGGGGCCCGGCCGGGAGGTCGCTGAGCAGAGCTGGGCTGGGCTGGGCTGGGCTGGGCTGGACTTCTCGGCTCCTCACTGAGGAGATTTGGGTTTTTTTTCCCGACAAAATTAACGTGGGATCCTTGTGCAAGTGTTACCCGAGCGCTCAGCTCACCAGCAGGGTGGTGGGTGGGACCTAAACGAGTCGGAGTCACGGAATCAGCCGGGTCGGAAAAGGGCTCTGAGATCCTTGAGTCCATCCTGGGACCCACCCCCACCACACCCCGTCCTTTGAAACCCCTCCGGGGCTCCAGCAGCTCCCTGGGCAGCCCATTCCAGTGTGGAGTTCCCGTGTCCCGTCCCCCTTTGTCCCACCGTGGCAGCAGTGCAGGAACGTGGAGATTTCCCCGCTGGAATCGCGTTGGAGGCGCTGCCACCTGCGGAGAGCGCAGCCTGGAGTTCCCTGGCCCGTCCGAACCCCCCCAGATCCCGGGGGGAGCCGCATTCCAGCGGGGCCGGGGCGGAGCCGCAGCTTCTCCCGCCTCCTCCGAGGAAATGCCGGCCCCGGGATCCGGGATCCACCGGGATCCGGGATGGGGAGGGAGGAGAGACCCGAGTGTGCCCCAAGAGGAGCAAACCCGCTGCTTCCAGCGGCACTTCCAGGGAAAGGGGGATCCGGGGGTCGGGGCTGAGCTCGCTCTGCTCCAGCCCCTGCTCTTGTCACACCCTGTCTCCTTTCTCCCTTTCTTTCTCTTTCTTTCTTTTCTTTCTTTTCTTTCTTTCTTTCTTTCTTTGTTTCTTTCTTTCTTTCTTTCTTTTCTTCTTTCTTTCTTCTTTCTTTCCTTCCTTCCTTCCTTCTTTTTTCTTTTCTTTCTTTCTTTCTCTCTTTCTTTTTCTTTAATTCTCTTTCTCTCTTTCTTTTTCTTTCTTTCTCTTTCTTTCTTTCCTTCTTTTATTCTTTCCTTCTTTCTTTCTTTCCATCTTTCCTTCCTTCTTTCTTTCTTTCTTTCTCTCTTTCCTTCTCTCTTTCCTTCTCTCTTTCCTTCCTCTTTCTCTTCTTTCCTTCTTTCCTTCCTTCCACTCTTCCCTTTCCACCCTCCCTCCCTTCCTCCCTCCCTCCCTCCCTTCCTTCCTTCCTTCCTTCTTTCCTCCCTTCTCCCTCTTTTTCTCGAGCCAATCCCTCTGTTTCTGTCCCTCTGGAATGGGATGAGGACCCGACCCCAGCTGGTTTTTCCAGCCTGGATGTGCACGAGTCGAGCTGAGATTTTTTTTTTTTCCTCTCACGTTTTTTTGCACAATAAAATAAA